TATATATATATATATATATATATATATATATATGTATGCTATTATAATTATAATAGGACATGTATAATTCATATTTTATATAATTTTTATATTATATAAAATACAATAAATTTTGTATGCATATTATATGACAAATAGTATCAATTATATATTTAATATTGTAAACAGAAATGATACAGGCCCTGGCTTGGACTGGGAAAAAGGTTGGGCAGGACAAAAACTATATCCTTATCACAGGTACGAAGTCTAGCTCAGGACTGCAAGGTTCCAACTGGCTGGTTAGTAACGTCTCTTGCGGGTTGTAGCGGAAATTTGGGGTCGAATCCCATTTGCATTTGGGTTGGGGGATGGGCTACTCTCCATTGTGTACTATTACAAGTAAATAATAATAATAATAATAATAATAAATAGATAAATAAAAAGAAAATTTCTAGCAAAGATCCAACCCGATCCATGTAGGGGTGTTGATTGGACTGGATTTGGTCTAATCCAGTCCAAGTCCAATGTGAGTCAATTACAAATGAATCAGGTCTAATCCAATCTAATGAATAATTTGGACCATTTTAGACTGTTCCAATTCAATGTTTGAACCATCCAATTTGTTTAAATTCATTTTAATTTAGATTGGTTTCAACACAAATCCAGTCCATTGACACCTATATTCTTATCTTATATCAATAGACCCGATATTGGCTTAATCCAACCAAATCCAAAATAAATTTATTACAGATGGACCAGGTCTAATAAATATTTTGGACTGAATTTGTCCAATCCAGTGTCTTTTTGGTCTGTTCAATCCGTCCAAAACCGATCCATTGACACCCTTACTCCATGATCATCCCTGCTAATTGGGTGGAACCAAATTGAATCCAACTCAAGCATATGAAATTACGTAAAATCAACTAATTAATTAACCATGCTCTCTATCTTCTACAGGCGTACAAGCGATAGGTGTGTGCAACGGAAGGGAAGGCAACAATTTACCACCACCAAATGAAGTTGTGGCCCTCTTTAAGGCCAATAATATTAACAAGATGAGGCTTTATGAACCTGATCGAACCACTCTTCAGGCTCTTAAAGGCTCCAACATTGAAGTAATGCTTGGCGTCCCAAACAGAGACCTTCAACGCATTGCCGGCAATGACCTCACTCCGGCGTATGACTTTGTCTATGGCAATGTGGTAGACAACAGAGCTACTATCAACTTCAAGTATATTGTCGTTGGTAATGAAGTCAGCCTCCAAGATTTCCAGTATGTCCTCCCTGCCATGAGAAACATCCAGAGGGCAGTTGAAGCAGCTGGGTTACAAAACCAAGTGAAGGTGACAACTGCAACTTACTCGGGAGTCCTGGGGAATACCTATCCTCCTTCCAATTCTGTCTTCAGAGCTGAGTTTCTGCAATATATGAGGCCTATCATTGGCTTCTTAGCAGAAAAAGGGTCACCACTCTGCGCTAATATTTATCCTTACTTCAGTTATCATGACAACCAAAACGTTATCAGGCTTGATTATGCCTTGTTCACTGCACCAGGAACTGTGGTAACTGATGGCCAGCTCAGATACCAGAACCTTTTTGATGCCCTGTTGGATTCTGTCTATGCTGCTGTTGAGAAGGTGGGTGGTTCTTCTGTCAGGATTGTTGTATCAGAAAGTGGCTGGCCAAGTGCTGGTGACCCTATAGCAACCACTGCAAATGCAAGGACTTATTTGAGCAGGTTGATCCAACATGTGAAAGGGGGTACTCCCAGAAGGCCCAGTGGTCCCATTGAGACCTACATATTTGCAATGTTCGATGAGAATACCAAGCCTGGAGCAGAGACCGAGAGACATTTTGGGCTATTCTCACCACAAAAACAACCCAAGCACCAAATCATTTTCACTTGAGAGCGGTTCTCATATATATATATATATATATATATATATATA